TTAGGAAATTATTCTCCTTGGATTCTTCGAAGAATCTCGACTTCTAATTTTGAACAATTTCTAACGTTTCAAGAGTTCTCCTTTGAGCACTATTGGTACTTAATTTGATTTCAAACAGAAATTTTACGTATGATAAATATGTTATTTTGGAAATTATCCTCCTTGGATTCTTCGGAAGATTCTGACTTCCAATTGTTGAAAATTGTTAAACGCTTTAAGAATTCTTCTCCTTGAATGGATTTTTGGAAAAATTTTCAAGATTATTACATATTTCTATAATTTCACGCAACAATTTCAGCCGTCTAATATTATTATAATTATGGCAGATTCTTGATTTACGTCTGGAAAATTCAAAAACTGCTTGATCGACTGATTAAATCAATAGGTGGAAATAATTAATATCCGATCTGATGTGAAACCGCAGGCTTCTATTTGTCTATTAGGTGGAGGAAGAGGCCGGAAATTGTAGGTGTAGTCGACCGGAAGTACTCGGAACGTAGTTTGCCCCAATAGACGAACGGTTTATTAGACGCTGGTTTAATTAATAATTGCATTTATCCGACGCAATTGCTAATAACGAAAATGATCGTCGCGATATTCGTAACACGAATATTAAATTTACGATGTAAAGTACGGCACACACTGGCAAGAGGCAGGAGTTCAGTCAATTGAAAACACGAAATTCGTCATTGTAAAAGATAAACGAAAAAACGTTAGAACGTTCCTGAAATTATTGCAATTTCAGGGAATTTTTATACGACCAGGAAGAAAGGAATGGCGAGAAAGCGCTGACGATTCGAAAACTTTTTTCCATCGACAGTGCGAGCACGTTCGAGTCGCACAGACGTGTTACCAGAGAGGTTAAAACCCTCTCTACCTATTCACAATATCGAGCGAGAGAAAGTCTTCCTCTCTTTCGCCGGAAGATATCTTATTCCCGCGGTTCCAATAACAACCTGTCGACGCCTTCTTACCACTGTTGTCGACCACTGCCGCGCAAATACTGTCTCTTCGGCTGAAAACATCGATTGGCTGTTTCGAGAACACAGAAGAACGCCTGAAGATAGGGGGCGAAACATCCTCCGTGGAATTTCGTTTCTCTTGTTTCACCGGCGGATGTGAACGAAAAAAAAAAAAAAAAGAAAAATGTTTCCGACCAACATCACGGACGAATCTCGATTCCACGACGATTTCATTGAAATGAAATCAAGATTTACCAATCGGAATAGAATAGATTAAATGGAAATTGAAACGAAATAAATTGAGTTAAAATTTCACTAATTAGGTATATTAGTTTGCTCTGCTTTTAATTAATTCGTTTAGGTTTGATATTTCGCTCGTGTTTAATGAAGTCTTGTGTCTCGTTCATTATCAAATGATATGTATATTCCGTTTTCTCTTGGAGTAGATTAATTTCCGTAAACTGGAAAAATATTTGAAGCAAACACTAGTAGACATTAGATCGCGATATTTGTTTTTCTGAAGATTTCGAGTTATTTCACCGTATGCATCAATATTGTAATTAATATTTGATTATGTTTTACGTTACTAATTAATTCTTAAGTAGCTGGATTATTATCCATAATGTACAGCTGCACACGTTCCTTTACGTTATTAATTAGCCGTTCAATGCTATAGATAATATATAAACTCACTAGTTTCAGATCATTAAAAGCATTCTCAACAGACAGAAATTAACAACAAGGTTAAACTGATTGCGTGTTAAAAAAATTCCAAAGTCACTACGATCTCCAAAGTTGCCCAAATATAATCGTCTAGTTATAAACATAGTACTTTCTTTCTCATTCTCGCCGTCAGGTGACGCTAGAATCACTATATTCCCTACGTCCATGGAAATCCCTGCAACAAACACAAATTTTCGTCCTTCTGTCCGCCGGTAACAGGAAGCTTTATTCCAGTTCCAAATACACGTCGTTGCTTGTTTTTTTTTTCTTTTTTTTTCTTTTTTTTTTTTTTTGTCACGGTGCAGTTGGTGCCGTGAATGGGACCGGAAGCGGCTATGAGGATGTAGCTTCGCCGTGGCTGAAACTCGCGGAATGAATTGGACATCGACGTTTTATCCATGAAATCGACGGGAGCCGGCGTTCCGCTCGTTTCTCGCGCCCAAAACAGCCAAAAACGCACCATTGGAAATGATGATACTCAGCGTGAGACTCCGACACTCTTTGTCCTCTATCTCTTTTTGTCTTTTGTCGCGTATTACGAGACACTGACAGTGGCTGTCGATCTCTCTTATTGAAAGACGTGCATGATCAAGGAGACAGAGTTTTCGCTCGTAGGTTATGGGGACTTCGAGCAAAGTTTGAAGGTTACGAAGCATGTCGGTCAATTCAATTAACGTTCGCGAAGTATACAATACATTTTCTTACTTGTTTTTTCGTTCTGTTGGAAATTATTTATTTTATCATCGAGTCATTTATCTCATCATCATCATTATTATTATTATTATTGAATATAAGACGAAAGATTTGATAAAAAAGAAGAAAGAAAGGAAAGGAAGAATCTCCTGATTTCTGTACAGTCCAGTGATGATTGTAATTCCAGAGGGCGCATTGATTTACCGCGGTCACGTGTCTCACGAAGCAACGAGTAATAATTAACGATCACGTCCCTCTTTGCTGGAACTGTTTAATAATTAATAATCCCTCAAGAGTTAGGGGCAGCACGGAACAACCCGCTGTCCCCTTGGTCATTAATATCAATTTTGTTAGGTTGTACCACGGTGTATATAAATCCGTATTGTCTTGGAACGCGTTGAACATTGAAGGGGCCCCGGCCCGTTCCAAGATTCTTTCTCTCCCCCGCAATTGCCTCTGTTAAATGGCGTCCGATATTTCAGGCGATAACGGCCTTGCTCGAGCTCGTGTTACTGCTGGCATTAACCGGAATTCTAGCCTCTGTCGCTGCCGTGTTACGCCTGATGGAACTCACCATCAGCATCATCCACCCGTTCACCATTTTCATGCTCCGACAATCCGGCAGGATAATCATTGTGAGTGTATAATATGAAATCGTAAAAACCCCTCTGCACACACCTTGTCCTGTACAACATTATACGATACACAGATCTTGAATTTTTATCTGTTGACAATTTAAGGACTTGAGGTTACTTAACACATTCCGTGCCACGTGTACCATCGGTGGTACATGTTAAACTTGATCTTCAGTCCAACCACAAGTGCTACACGATGTGATAGCTACTCTAAACAAGAGAACTACTTATCGATGTAATGAAAGATTGTGTGATGATATATCAACCTTTAGTGAAAATATGTTAGTTATATGTTAGTAAAAATGGCTTGGCACGGGACGTGTTAAATTTGGAATTTTCAAAATACGAACTTGGAAATAAATTGGGTAAATTATTAGGTTCAACTTTGGAGAACTTAGAAACATGCAGGGCGTTTTTATTTTAACAGAGATAAAATAATATTCTTCTATCCTTTCACCACGACAAACAAACATATTTCCTTAGAAGGTAGAAGAATGAACTAAGGCAGAATATTTCTAGAAAAGAGAGAGAGAGAGAGAGAGAGAGAAAAAAGAAAATACATATTTGTTTCTTAATTTGTCACTTTACTCTAACTAAAGTAGAAAAAAGAGAAGGAAGGAGAAAGAAAAAATAAAAAAAAACTGTGCATTTGGATCTGATGGAAAAAATTACGATTCGTGGAAGAAATTACTAAAGCCGGGGAATCCCCGGAAGGAGAGCGTGAAATAAGTGATCTAATTTCACCGACGTAATTCGCGCGACGAAATCCTACGAGTCGCAGGATCACGAAATCGTGTAATAACCTAATATTTTAGCTGGTTGCCCGCAGTCTCACAGGCAGCTTTCCATTTTCTCTAACGTTGGCAAACTCCGCACGACAAACACCCGTCGACGAATATTCCGCCTAGCGACAAACTAATTAATCCGAACGGTGTTAACGGTCCACCTATTCAGCTTTAACGCGATTCCACCTTGCTTTCTTCAACGTGACGGTTCTACAACCTGACGCAATTAATCAATAGGATGGATCAGGGATTAATTGAGAGTGTTTCGCGTCACGTGGATTTTTCAGATTACTCAAACTGAGTATTAGTGAAATAGAATTAGCGGCAGAACGGACTGTCGAGTCTAATAACTTAATATAATTTCTTTGTATATATAATAATAATGGCAGGCACTGAATATCACTAACAGATGTATCAGATTGTCACTGATCGAATATTTCCAACAATAGTCTCCAATAATATCAATCAAATTTCGAAACCAAATACTCACAATCAGATACATTTCAGCTCGTGTTCTAAAATAATATTGCAATTGTTGCAATTAATATCGAGTTTCACGGATCGTCGTTTAACGAGCCTTGACCTAAATTAAATATATCTGAATATCGATTTAAAAAAAAATGTCTCTTCACAGAAGAATCTGAAAACCAAATATTTAAAAATTCTCTCTCTCTCTGCTCTTTCTCTACTAATTTCATCCATAAAATCACCTGTTCGACAATTCCATCTGCGTGTCCATGATTTTCGAAAATTTTCTGTCAATAAATGATGGGACACAAGAGGCAGGGTTCGTAAAGCCCTTGTCCAGTTAATGTTGAATACCTGGCTGTCCATAGTTTGGAGTGAGACAGACTGAGAGGCTGGCGTCACACGCGTACTGCAAGATCCACGTGGATCGTGGTCGTGCAACAGCCACGGAATTAACAACGATAAACATGCGGCAACCGGAGACACCTTACTACAGAAGTGCTATACCTGGCATGGTTGAGGAAACGTTCCCTCGCAAATGTGATTTTCGTTTCGTACGAGCGCTGAGAGAAGAAGAGGAATTGGAAGGAGATGTGGAAGTTCATAGTCCCAGTGTTGATGAAATTGAAGAGACGGACGACGGCAAAGCGATGGAAGACGAATCGAGAAATCCTATCGAAGAGGAGGTTACTTCTGAAGCAACGACTATCGACAATAGTGTTCAATAAAAATTGTCAGTCTGTCTTGAAATATCTTCAACTCGAGCTCGTCATATATTTTTTTTTGAAAAATTTTTAATTCTAAATTTCTATCGCGATTCTATGTTTTTATTTTTTTTTTTTTTTTTTTTATCTAAAAGTCAGGGGGGAGAAATATTTCGTTAAATCATTGCAAGGGCTGTCATTTATGTTTTGGTAATATTTCTACACCTTTTTATAATATTCCACAAATACGTAAAAATTATTCTCACGTCTATCATACAGATTGTTATAAAAATCATTCCCTTCGCTCTTACTAAGTACGTCAAGAGTCGAAGAATGCTTCTCCGGCCTTGTTCATCGTTTTTTTCATTCGAAGAGAAAACACTGTTCGTATTGCGAGAGTTACAACGTTGTTAGAGCATCGTTAGTGGTCTTCTATTTTCTTACGCTGTGTCCCCTTTGTTGATGAACAGAATGGACTTTTCTACGCGAGATAATCTAATGAAAAAAACGCGGATGGACAAAGGCGCGCGGAGAGTTCGGCGGAAAGTTGTCGAAAATAAAAAAAAGAGAAGAAAAAAAAAAAA